GGGGCCGCGAGGCGCGCGCAGGCTGGCCGAGTGGCGCGAGGTCACTGTCGCGCCTGCACCTTCCCCATCTCACCGCGAAGCCTGCAGCCTCGGGAAAGCAGAAGCAAGAGGATAGAATCTCCGCACATCCGGGCATCGGGACGCGCTGCCCCCTGCTCCGCCCCTATCTTATGACGGTCCTCAGCCCGCGACTCCTGTTGTTTCGTCTCTCATTTCCCGAGTCCGGAAACCGCTTCCCGGCACAAGGTCGCGCCTGCACCTTCCCCATCTCACCGCGAAGCCTGCAGCCTCGGGAAAGCAGAAGCAAGAGGATAGAATCTCCGCACATCCGGGCATCGGGACGCGCTGCCCCCTGCTCCGCCCCTATCTTATGACGGTCCTCAGCCCGCGACTCCTGTTGTTTCGTCTCTCATTTCCCGAGTCCGGAAACCGCTTCCCGGCACAAGGTCACTTCCGGCGGTTCCCCATCTCACCGCGAAGCCTGCAGCCTCGGGAAAGCAGAAGCAAGAGGATAGAATCTCCGCACATCCGGGCATCGGGACGCGCTGCCCCCTGCTCCGCCCCTATCTTATGACGGTCCTCAGCCCGCGACTCCTGTTGTTTCGTCTCTCATTTCCCGAGTCCGGAAACCGCTTCCCGGCACAAGGTCACTTCCGGCGGATCCCGCGACTGCGCCGCGGGCCTTTAGTCCTGCTGACGAGACTGCCCTGGCGATGGAAGGAAGAAGGGGGGGCTGGGCGCAGTCAGAGCGGCCCCTGGCGGCCGGAATGGGGCTGAGCTAGGAGGCGGCTGCCACTTAGAGCACGGGGCTGCGTGGCCGGCGCAGAGCGGCTGGTCGCTACAGTGGCTGTTGCTTCAGACCTGGTCGGACACGAGCGATTTAGAGCAGGCAGCTCAGCGCAGCGGCTCCAAGGCGGGGGACCAGATGCCCTGATTTCATAGAGGCGGTGCTGAGATGCAGGGGCTGGTCTGACCCCTCCCCATCCCTGTTTTCACACCTGCCCTCTGCTCACCCTAGTCCCCGCTTGCCCTTCTCATAACAGAAAAGGACCCGCCCAAAGACCTTAAAAAGCTGCACAACCACTTCTCTGCTCAACTCCTCTTCCCATTCACACGGGCAAAAGACCGCCCACCATTTGTGGCCATGTCTTTTAGTCTATGGCACCAGACTGTAGCTCTGGGACTTCCAGTCCTGTCCTCTTCATATTTCTTTTGGCAGTCTTTCCATCCGAACCTGGGTTTCCCACTCCCTTTCCTGTTGTCCTCTTCCTCCTGTGCTTTCTTTGCTGGACAGTCTCCTCTTCTTATGAGTGATGCAAAAATTTAAAAAGTTAATCAATATATTTTTTCTTATCAGTTTCTGTTACCATTTAAACTCTGCTAAGGAGTGGAGGTGAACAGCCAGTAGGGATGTGAACACTAGTCGATTATCAGATAAACAAGTGCCTATTGGATAGTCGACATGCTAGTCAACTAGTCACTTCCCCTTGCTGCCTCTATTAGAAAGTGGTGGGAGGGCAGGGAAGAGCCCAAAGCCTGGGCACCACACAGCGTTTCAAAGAAGCAGATTGTATTGACTATTCAATTAGTCAATCAAAATTTTACATCCCTAGCAGCCAGGAGCCTACAGGGCTGGTGGCAGCCTGAGGGGCCAGCAACAGCAACTGGGATCCTGAAGCCTGCCCAGCCAGTGGTAACCAGTATCCCACAGGCTCCAGGGTCTTGCAGCAGCAGCAGCAACCAGGAGACCATGGGGCTAGCAGCAGCTGGGTTCCCATAGTTACACGGTTCATATTTTTTAACATTTTTAAATCCCTAATTGTTATCTCATGGGCCATCTGCAGTCTATCACTGAGAGCCCCATGTTCATCTCCCCCCTAATCCATAGTGTATTATTTTCTTACACCTATTTCTCCTTTTCTCCCATCTCTCTAAGATGAAACAATAAGGCAACAGTAATATTTTGTTTCAACTTCTTTCTAGTAAAAGTGCTTTCCAAACAAAAGAGAGATGGTACAAGTCTTGCCCCAAAGAGTTCATAATTTAAAGACAATAAAAAAAGTGTGTAGGGAGTTAAAGGGACAACATACACACAATTAGATGACATTTATTTGAATAATATGCAACAAGTAAATTATTCCCAAATTGCTGTTGCAGTTTGTCATTGTCAGACAGCAAATTTTCTGCCAGCAAAGTAATAAGATGAAAGCAAATGAAAGGAAATATTTTAATATACATACACACACCATTAATTTGTGAGCTCATAAATGTGGTATCATGGAGGTCAAGAACTTACTATGATAAAAAAAAATCTATAAATATATAATGAGAATATCTACAACCTACTTTAGAAGGAAATAAAAAAATAGAAGAGATAATTGCTCACATTCTAGGACTTGTGCCAATCAGTATCATCTGTTAAGGGCAGGCTGTGATGGAGCTGTTCAATAATGACTTTCTACCATGTTCAGTTGAAGTGTCTTATTTTGGATATATTAACAGAGACTAAAGTAGTTATTTTTCCCAGACTTATAGCACTTACTGTCTGTATGTAGAATGGAATTTCTGAGAATTTTCATATCAATCAGTTTAAAAGTAATATTTTTAAAGCGAGCATTTTGAGAATTTTCTAATTACCTTTTTAACCACCGCTAATAAATGGCTTTCTATAATATTTCAAACTCAGATTATTCTGTAGGTTATACTTCTCAGTGATCACAATATTGTTTGGGAAGAAAATTGCTGAATAGATTTAGCAGTAAAGTGATGTTATACTCTACTTGTAAATCCTAATTTGTCATTTTAGTGACATTGAAATGAAAAAAATCTACCTTACTTTATAAGATCCTCTTTTCATGCACACATCAGTGAAGAACAATTTGTCCTAAACTGATGGAAATTTTCAGCAGATGCAGTTTTAAAAAATAGCTGATAGCAGGAAATGTTATTTATAATTTCCTATAGAGGTTCTCCTTTAACTCACCATAATCCAGTATGACTTTACAACTCATGTATCAACGTGTGCTCTGCTTCTGTGTTATAACAACTTACAAGCTAGTTTCTAGAAGCAGGAGTCTGTAATCACTTGGGAGCTTGTAAGCATATTGGAAAATGTTAGAAGCATATCTGCATACTTCATGTTAACAATGTAAATTCACAGATACATTTTCCCTTCTTTTGTTTGATAACTTAAAATATGATGGTGACTCAGGTGAATGTCAGAAAATAAAGTATTTTAACATAAAGGTGGGACCCCTTTATGGATATAACATTGCCATTGTACATTAAATCCAAAAGTTTGACAAAACATTTATTGAAAAAAATGTTAACAAATTTGCAACTTTGTGCGTAAGGCAATAACATTCTGAAGATCGGTAAAAATGCGAGAGTGGTTTTTTTCAGTTCGGTTTGCTGGTCTTGCTTGTATTCATCATCCATCAGTGCTACTATAGCCATTCTCATGCAGTGTTGCTTTGTAAAATCTGATTGGGAAAGGTTCAGGATAGCCATACAGATTGGTTTATTAAAGCGGTTGCCACTAATCTGTTCCAGTCAATTTCATTATCCTTGTCATGGTTCAATTCCTCAACCTGACACTCCGAGTGCAGAGATTGGAGGGGAAGGCAGCTAGTAGAATAAACTCTGTAAAACCTGTCTCCAGCACTCCCAGAGACAAGCTTGTCTGGTCTCAGTCTCCCTGAGATCCACACACAAAAAAAAATAAATAAATAAACATTTCCTGCCATCAACCATGTGTACTAAAAAAAAAAAAAAGGAAATAAACATTTCCTGCCATCAACCATGTGTACTTAAAAAGATATAAAATAAACCCTTTTCCAGGGAAGAGATCACTTGGGAATCCCCTTCCTAAGTCAAAGCTCTCCCTCCTGCCCCAACCTCTGTTTTGCTTGGATTTGGGAAAACAGAGGGAAACCACAGAAAACAATGGACTCTGCCAGGGTAACTAGGCATGTAACCCTAAGGACACAACAATCAACCAATACCGGTTAATCAAAACAAAACTACTGTTGCAAGCATAGTAAATTGACTAGGTGGCAAATAGCCATGTAGTGACATACACTCAGGGAAAGTTCCTGGGCTATAATCCTTAGTTACAAAAGAGAAAAACAATTAGCCAGCTCAGACATGATTTCCAAAACCCCAAACAAGGAAAACAATAAACCCCGATGAACTATCTAAACTTTTCCCTACTTACACATTTCAAGAAGTCCGTTCTTAGAGAGAAAATGCATCTCCCATCTCCCTCAATACCTGGGAGAAACTGCTCTGATCTCAAATAAAGAAGAGAAAAAAACCCTTTCCTGGTTTGAAATTCTTATCAGCATTTTTATTGGCTGACTGCTCCAACCTCTTCCCTAGGTGCATCTTCAGTTTCCTCACTCTTCAGGTAAATCACATTCTCCTTATCAGCTCCTATTTATGATAATCCTAAAGAAAAAGAAATCACTGCACAAAAGTTCAGTATTCTAAAGATACAGAAGGACCTTCTGGAAGTGTGTCAATGTACTTATATGTAGGTTATAGTTAAAATCCTGCACATGTTTAGTAATCACATTGATTTCAAATCATTACAATTACAGGATCAGGGTCCAGTGATATGAGACAAAGAAAGAAAGGATTATGTTAGTGGTTTTCAAACTATGGGTCGTGACCCAGTGCAGGCAGTCCCCGGGTTACGTACAAGATAGGGACTGTAGGTTTGTTCTTAAGTTGAATCTGTATGTAAGTCGGAACTGACCACCAGTTCTGACTTACATACAGACTCAACTTAAGAACCCCAAGTCCCCAAGTCAGCTGCTGCTGAAACTGATCAGCGGCTGATTCCAGGAAGCCCCGGGCAGAGCAACTGTGCCTCACGCTTCCTGTAGTCAGCGCTGGTCAGTTTCAGCAGCAGGAAGTAGGAATAAGAGATCCTCCGGAATAGGGCTTTATTCCGGAGGATCGCGCCAGTCTAGACGCTTTTTTCCGGCTTTTCCCTAAGCCGGAAAAAAAGCAGCGGCCATGTTTATTTAAATCCCGCGGGGGATATTTAAATCCCGCGGGGGATATTTAAATCCCCCGCGGATTTCCCTATTCTGAAGTTGGAAATTAACATGCCTCTTCCAGAGAAGGGGCCAATGTAGATGTAGCCGTAGTGTTTCCTCCACTACCAGAGCTAAAGCCCTTCCCTGGGCCACTTCTCCAGATGGCTCCCTCCCAGCAACTTGCTTCTGCTACCTGACCAATCTCATTCTCCCAGCTCTTCCACAGCACACCACCTTACTCCCAGCTCCTCACAAACCATCCGTACATTCCTGATTGTTCTGGAGCAGCCCCTGTCCTGGTCACTCAGGCTATGGCTACACTGTAGCCTTCTTCCGGAAAAGCTTATGCAAATGAAGTGCGGCGTGGAATATCACTGAGCTTCATTTGCATAATTAATTAGCAGCCACTTTTGCACAAGAGGCTTTTGTGCAAAAAGGAGCTATGTAGAAAGCTCCTTTCTGTGCAAAAGCTTCCTCTTGCGTAAGAGCCGTTCTTCCTCATTTTTTCATGAAGAATGGGTCTTGCGGGAGGGGGGTTTTCTGTGCAAAACGGAGCTGTCTACACAGCTCATTTTTGCTCAAAAGCCTCTTGCGCAAAAGCGGCTACTAATTAATTATGCAAATGAAGTGCAGCGATATTCCACGCTGCACTTCATTTGCATAAGCTTGTCCAAAAGAAGGCTACAGTGTAGCCATAGCCTCAGGGAACAGACAACTATTCATCCAGTGGCCAGTATCCTTATCTTCTACCAGACCTCAGCAGAACCAATAGGACCTTCCAATAGGACCAGATGTTCTGGGTCTGCCATACCTTCAATGAGCACTAAATCAGAACCTTGCAGCAATATCAGGGCTGCTCTAAAGTTATGTTTGACTATCTTTTCCTTCCAGCCCCAACAGTATGCCAGAAGCTCAGCTGGAGATGGCAAAGAGCCAGAGGCAAGTGGTGAAGCCAGCTTTATAACCCTTTATGTCAGAAGAACTGCATAAGAGGACCAGCTCCAAGGACATCAGAGCATCAACAACAACAACAACAAAGAGAGAAGTGGCCATATATAAAGCCCTGTCATAAGCACAAAGCAAGTAAACTTAAAAAAGAACAGATTTCCACCCCCAACCCCAATCTCTTTCATAAGTGTTACTTGGGACAATATCAGAGACAAAATTTTCAGATGGGAATATGGTTTTAAAGTCTTCTAGTTTTCTGATGTATTTTTTTCAAAACTCTGTAGTTGTAGATTATAGAATTAAGCAATTTATTTTCCACCTTTATATGGAACATGTGTAACATGTATGTATGACACCACACAAGATTACATAAATGAGGAAGTAAAAATATGTTGACTTAAAATTACATTGTTTATTACATTACTATATTTCAACAGAACCTTTGGTAATAAATATATAAATACTACAAATTAGCTAACAATGTTAAAAATAAACATATACGACAATATGGTACTGGCATTATAAAGAATAAAAACCACCCTAAATCTGAATATCCTCACAGGGTAAAACAGTAAATCAAGTTTTAGTCTTCTGCTATTTATGCTTAAGCCTAAAGATTACTCTGATGAATCGGTCTTTTTCTGTGTTATTTCTTCTGATTTCATATTTCAATATTTCTCTTGTCAATGCTCTTAGAAATGGATCAACTTGTAACATACTTTAAAATATATACGTAAATTTGAGTTTATTAAAATGGTTATATTACAAGTCATCTAAATTAAATCTCCTAAAAATGAACTGTATTAAATTAAAACCCTGAGGAACTATAATGTGTTTACTTAATGGTTTTGGTTAAGTGCAATTTGATAAATTTAGAGTGCTGTTTTATTTAAGGTCATTCTTGGTAAGGCATATTAAACTACAAAAACAACAACATAATATTTATTCCTTGCTACAAAAATTTAGGTGAAAAGTATTTTTGCACATAGTAATGGTCTTCCATCTGCTGGCTTATTTGCTGTTTATAGAGTAATTAACATTTGTGCATTAAGCTGAGCTGCTCTTGTCAGATCATGCTACTGTGCTGAAACAGTGGGCTGAAACAAGATGCCTCTGGAGAGCTACATGCTACAGATTTTGTTTCCATGCTCAAATACAGCCTGCACAAACTGCTTGAAGACTCTGTCCATGTAAGTGCACTTCCTTGGCCATGTTCCTTCTAGAAAACCAATGTGGCCTCCATATGAAGTAAGAACCAAAGCAACATTTGGATTTTGTTTGGCAGTTTCAATGGGTATAGCTAAAAAAAAAAGAAAAGTATAAGTCCCCCATTTCATTATTTATCTCTATCATGCCTCCTAATCATACAACAGAAATACAGAGAATGGCCTTACAGGATTAGGATCTTAAACTGTCAAAAGATCTCTCACTTGGCACCATTAACTCACCTCATTTATACAAATTTCTAAATGATGCACTGATTGAGCCTCTTCTCACTCACACTGATATATATTAAGTTTAACTCCACTGAAGGCAAGCCAGATTGACAAGTGCAGAAATGAGAGGAGAGTCGGTTTCATAGCCTTATATATATATGCTTCAACACTTGGCAACAGATAAAAATGGACTGACAATTTTGTTCATGAATAGCCCTGTTCTTATTAGGTATGAAGCCTGAAGTCATTTTAAATGTAATATATTTCTGCAAATAATATTATAAGTATGTTTACTTTAGGAATCTGAGTTCAGACTTATCACAATGAGGGTACATCTACACAGCAGGGCTAACATCGTATTAAACTATGCAAATTATTCTGAAATAATGCTGCTGTGTAGATGTACCCCAAGAGGGCCAACAGTTAGAAAGAGCAAGGTGTTCAGTATGCTTATATAGCTATGTCAAGCTCAGTACAGGGTAATTATTATTTATTATTATGTAAGGTTTGTATTATATTAGCACTTAAACAACTCAACCAAGATTTGGACTCCATTATTTTGATCTCAGTGGAAGTCACATTACTAAATACCTCTGAGAGTGTGGGCCATAGCGAGACACAGAGCCTGCATAAAAGAATATACAATGTATATAGGCAAAGAGTGGGAAGGAAGAGACACACACAGTAACTTCCCCAAGGTCACACAGCAGGTTAATAGCTCACTCTAGATTAGAGACTGTAGTAAATGAGTAACACAGCATTAGATTAGTTGTCTAAAATTAGACACTAAACTGCAATGATTTGCACATAACATATGCAGGAGTAATTTTTAGTTTGATCTCAGTGAATTCAGATTGTCAAAATTATTCAGAAGTGAACAGCCAGTACATTGATACACTCAGTACTTATAGCATAACCCTTCAAAAAAGAAAAATAGAGGTAAATTAAAAATCAGATTAGCAATAAGGAAAGCACATTCACTCACAAAATGAGAGATCAATGCAACTGTATGACTATTCTCATTGGGTATGTCTACACTGCACGGCTATTTCGGGATACCAGAAGTATCCCCAACTAGTTACCCCACATCTACACAAGCTGCCCTTTATTTCAAAATAACAGGCACACTATTTTGCCATCCTGCTAAACCTTGTTGTACAAAGGATAAGGAATGGCTCGAAATAGTGCATTATTTCAAAATTTGGCGCTGTGTAGACACGCCAAATTTCAAAATAAGTTATTTCTAAATAGATTCAAGCGCAAACTGCATATCTTATTTCAAGTTTAGGGTGCTGTATAGATGGCACCGATTCAGGATAACTATTTAACATGACAACGAGTAGTCCTTAGCCCTGGTCTATACTAGGACCTTATTCTGAAATAACCTCCCCAAGTTCGAATTTATAAGCGGTGCGTCCACATTACCAAGCCCATTATTTTGAAATAACAGGCCACAGAATTTGAACTCTGTACTCCTGAGTGCCAGGCTTATGGGCCTTGTAGTGTGCCTCATGGCATAGTTCATCCAGACTGCCTGCATGCTGCTCCAGCAGTACGAGGACCAGCATGGATTGCAGGTACTGATCACCCAAGTTCTGGCACTCCTGCTGCTGTGCATGCCCCTTAATCACTTGGTCACTGTGGAACGCTGCTTCTGGTGGCAGGAGATAAGTTCATACTGGTGGAACCGCACTGTCCTGCAGTGACGGGACGACCAGCAGTGGCTGCCGAATTTCCATATGCAGAAGGCCACCTTCCTCAAGCTCTGCAAATGGCTTGCCCCTGCCCTCAGGCAACAGAACATCCGCATGAAATCCACCATCCCCATATAGAAGCATGTGGCCATCACACTCTGGAAGCTCGCCACAACAGACACAGGTGTGGGAGTCAGGGCCCCCCTCCTGCAGGTAGCCAAGGCCATCAACCACATGCTGCTGCAGAGATTCGTCACACTGGGGAAGGTGAACACCACTGTGGATGGCTTTGCCACCATGGGTTTCCCCAACAGCAGAGGGGCCACAGACAGTACTCACATTCCAATACTGGGCCCTGGCCAGTCGGCCTCTGACTATATCTACTGGAAGAGGTACTTCTCCGTTGTACTGCAGGCCCTCAGATCACAAGGGATGCTTCACAAACATCAACGTCAGCTGCTTGGGGAAGGTGCACAACTCCTCACATCTTCTAGAACTTCTGCCTGTTCTGAAAGATGCATGCCAGCACTTTTCCCTGACCACACCACCAGAGTCAGGGAAGTGGACATGCCCATCATCATCTAGGGCAATGCCGCCCAGGCTCATGAAGCCCTAGACAGGCAGCCTGTACCCCACCAAGGAACACTTCAATGCCAGGCTGAGCAGGTGCTGCATGGTGATGGAGCGTGTGTTTGGCTGTTTAAAGGGGATGGTTCTGGAATCTCCTCACTTGCCTGGACTTCAGTGAGCACAACATACCCTTTGTGGTAACGGCCTGCTGTGTGCTCCACAACCTGTGTGAGAGAAAGGGGAAGACCCTTCTGCCAGGGTGGGGGGCAGAGGTTGAATAGCCAGCCAGGACATAAGAGCAGCCAGACACCACAGCCATACAGAGAGCACATCAAGGGGCTGTTCTCCAGGGAGGCCTTGAGGGAGAGTTTTGTGCAAAGCCAGCTGTGAGAACCTCCCCCTTCCTCTCTACAAGGGGCCTCTGCATTCCCTGTGTGTGCCTTTCCTCCCCCACCTATCCCTTCCTCTGCCCTCCCTTCCCACTTCCCCCTCTGCCCTGCAGAGCAAATCATAAAGTCTTCTGTGTTGAAAGAAACAGGACTGTTTAATGGGAGGGTTATACAACAGGGAAGGGACTGGAATGGGGAAGGAAGGATAAAGTGGTTCAGGGCTGGGGCTTCCACATTAGGAAAGCAGCAGGATAAGGGACTCTCTGAAGGTAGCCAGGTACGGTGGGTTCTGGAGTGGCCATGGGCAGAGGGCACCTGTGTGTGGAGGTCACCTGCCTCTGGTTGGCTGGGAGGCTTCAGCTGCCTGAGAGGTCCCACCACTACATATTATGGTGTCTTAGCGGCCCCTGAGCAGGCTAGGAGGGGAAGCCATTGCGGGGCGGGGAAGTGGTTGGTGGCCCACTACATGCATGAGGCCCTGTGCTCCATCACCGAGGTGAGGGAAGAGCACATGGCCTTGTGCTGCCGTGCCAGCTGGTCCCAGGCAGTCTTCCTCTGCTACTGGTCCACTCCCACTACTCCTCCTCGAGGCCCTGGACAAGGGACTGTAGGGAGGCCATCTGCTCCCACATCAGGTACTTGCGGGTTTTATTTTCTCCTGTGGATTTGGGTAGATGGCATGGGAGGAGGAGGACACGTCAAGCTCACAGCTATCCCAACTGTAAAGAGAAGTTACAATGGCAGTCATCCCAGGAGACACCGTGTATGAAGCCTACTCCTAATCTCTGAGTTGACATTGAAGGTCTTGGTTCAGAATATGGTGATGTGCCATCTATTGCCTAGACGGGGCACTTTCCTGCAGGGGCATAGACGTCTCAGGGGAACATCGCTACACCTATGGCCCAAGAACAAGTAGGCATGGGAAGGTGCCAGTCAGGCCAGAAGCCTGTGGTGGAAGTGGGGGACACACCAGGTCCGACACTGGCAATGTCCCACAGAGAGAGAGAACTTCTAACTCTGCCCACTGGAGGAGCGGGGGCGGGTACTGGAGGTGGTATGTGTGAGCAGCAGACACCGCTTGTCAGAGAGAGTGCAAGCAGTGTTCCTCTCCTCTTCCTCCTTCCCTCAGCCTCAACAGGTTCCCATGACCAGGATCAGTCTCCTCATCGCTGTGCTCAATCAGGAGTGAATGCTGCCTGAGTACAGGCACGGCCCCGTGCTGTGTGCGGCCCTACTGTGTGGTTCTATGACCCCATACTCCTTAGCGGTGGCTTGTTGTGGGAAGGTGTCTCACCGTGGAGACTCGAGTGAGGCAGGCCTCTCTAGGAACCTTGTTAGAAGGACTGAGGGGTTCCTGTATGACAGTATCATGGAGTGAAGTTCTCCAGACTGGCGTTCCATGTGCACCCCCATGCACAAGCTGTTGTGTGACCCCTGAGTCGAATAGGCTGAGCCCCTCAGTCCCTCATAGCCCATTGCTGGGAGACACCCTGGGAGAGGGGGACTGGCTAGTCTCCTCCTCCTTGTCCGCAACCCTGCTCTCCTGAAAGCTGATGCTGGGAGAGTCCTGACCAAACTCCACGATAATGGGGGTGCAGTGTGGGGGGGAAGTGACTGGCCCCCCTCCCAGGATGGCATCCAGCTGTTTGAAGTAGCAGCAACTGTGTGGTGCCACCCCAGAGCATCCACTCTGCTCCCTGGCCTTATGGTAGGCCTGCTGGAGCTCCTTGACTTTCACCCAGATCAGGTCCAGGGTCTCGTAGCTTTTGTCAGTCAGGCTGGCAGTAATCCAGCTGTAGACACCCACATTTCCCTTTCTGGGGTGGAAATCCTGGAAGCTGGTCTCCACCCCTCAGACCTTGATGAGGTCTAGGATCTCCACACCAGTCCAGACCAGAACTCTCCTGCGTCTCTGTCCAGTGGCAGCAGAGGGAACAGCATTAGTGCTGGCAGCTGTGGGAGGCTCTGAGAGAGCATTGGGGACACTCACGGCTCCTGGGATGCTATCTTGCATGAGGCTGGCAAAGCTGGCTACGTGCAATAAGCCCTTCTCCTGCAACTTGCAGGAGAAGGGGAGCAGTGGAGATGTCAGATGTGGCCAGAGTGGTCAGAAGTGCAGCTGTGAGAAGCCTCTGGAGGCCAATTATTTCAAATTAGCAGCACTGGATTGTCCACACTATTACTATTTCAAAATAACAATTTCAAAATTAGTTTCATTCACCAAGAAAAACAGGGTACAGATTTTGAAATAACCAGCCTGTTATTTTGAAATAATGGGCTTGGTAGTGTGGACACTCCAATTATTATTTTGAAATAAGGGGGGTTATTTAGAAATAATTCCCTAGTATAGACCAGGGCTTAATGATCCCATACCCATAACACAACTGCAGCCTGTACCTCAAACCATATAGCCCCACAGTCAATGGGCAGCACATGCGTATCAGGTCTCTGGTCACACCCAGACACTCCCAATCAAGAGTGGCAAGTGTTGCTTGCCAAAAGTGGTCGCTGATCTTCACCTGATCCTACCAGTGGAGGAGCCCTCTGAGCAACAAAAGAGATCTGTCCCTCCTCCATGTACCTCTGCTGAAGCAGCCATAGCTGATTTACAACCATTTGTTGCATAATCCTACTTTACTTTATATTTGTGTAGCCTTTAACATAATTGTGACACACATCATCTCTCTTCCATTCCTTTAAACTTCAGTTCAGTATTCTATTTGCATGATCTCTGTAGTGTCCTAGATTTTCTTATGAAGATCAGGGTCTATTTACAATGGCAATAGGAAGTTTCCCTGCCTCAAACCAACAATCTGTACTTCCAAATATCAGAGGTCCACGGCAAAAAACTGTGTAATTAATTAGCTCTTAGACCTGACTAGTTTCTATTTTACAACTTTACTTTTATTCCCGGTATTATCACTCATAGGAAAATATAGCCATCGTGCACCCACAGGATCAAAGAAATCTTTAACTATGATGCTAGTTAATAAAAGAGAATCGACCAAAAAAGCCTGATTGTTCTATGTGGTAATCAAGATGAACTATTAAAACAAATCTACTGTGTTTTTACAGTTTAACTGTTATTAGCTGACATTTCTGCCTATTGGGCAGCTTCATCCTCCAATCAGATTTCTATAATATTGATATAGGACTTCCTGTACAAGATCACATCATCTATGTCTCTTCCACTGCACTGGACCAACAAAACAGCCCTGTTAGCACTTTGGCCTAGCTGCGATGCATGTGAGATTAGAGATAGGGAGTTCAAAATCCTTCAAACATCAAATGGGAGAAACCAAATTATTTTTGTGGTAAGCATTGGGCGTCTGTGTCACATTGACAGCAATTGCTACAGAGGAGTTCAAGTATGCTGATGAGTAAATCATAGTATGATATGTTCTATAGGAGCTGGCTCACAAGAATGCTGACCAACAAAAGCACTAAGCATTTGCATGATTTAGACCTCTCCAATAAGTTCATCAGAGTGGAAAATTGGAACTAAAAATATCAGGGTTGATGTACAGTAGTACTTAAATACATCTCATTGATATATAGCCTGTTTTTTAGTTCTATGCAATCTTACATCTTACTGATTATATCTGTATGAATGTATGTAAAAAGAAACAAAGCTTCAACTTACCATGACCTGGTGAGAAAACATCATCCAAAGAGTTTAGACATAACACTGGAATACTTATTGACTTCAGCTTGCGACATGGACTAGCATCTACATAATAATCATCAATTGTACGGTAGCCAAACATAACTGAGGTGAATTGCTTATCAAACTCCCTAATGGTTTTAGCCTGAAGAACAGAATTCAAATCAGGAACTACATCAGTGTTTGGACATCAAAATATAAAATCAAAATAAAAAAAGATCTATTTATCTATTTACCTTCATGACCAGATTCATATCAAATAATTTCTCTAACATTTGTCGATGTCTGGAAAAAAAATGAGGGGAGAGGGAAGAAAAATGATTTTATGGATGTAGAAGTCCTTTGTCTTACAAATACATACTCAGCAGTAAATACCATAGAGTGAGAACACATTTATTTCTCAGTCTTATCTCATCTGTTTCAGACACTAAGTAACGTGCACTTATAAATACAACAGAATGTGAGTGAAATCTGCATTAGTCGTTAAAAATGCGACACGGATAAAAGAGAGAATCTTGATTTTAGGGACAAAAGATCATTTTTAAGACAACCTATCAGCTACCTTTTCCCTCCTTTTTGCTTTCAGAGATTATTTTTTTAATAAATTAGTGTCTATGTAGCTCTCAGACTAAATGTGTTAATGTTGGTTAATTAATAAAAAAAATCAAATTGGTGTCCTCCATCCTAAGTCTTGAGTAGCCTTACAATAATCACTGTATACATGGGGTGAAATTCAATCCTGTGGAAAGGGACAGCGCATAGCCTATTTTAAGTCACCCTAAGATATATTTTGGAGACTGCAATGGTATATAAGCTGGTTCTCTTGTACAAGAGTGAATATCACCCATGAGGAAAACCTTCCAAGCAAGGAGACATTTCAGTTTCAGAATTTCCTGAGATTATACCCACAAAGGAAGGCATTATGGGTACATCTAAACTATGTTTTATTTTCAAAAGAGGATATGCAAATTCTGCAGGAATTTGCATATCCTCTTTCGAAAACAGAACGTAGTCTAGACATAGCCTATGCGAAATGCAGTAATAGCAGTCCTTTTCCAGAAGGCCATATATCTGGCTTATATTCCATACTAACATCTTCATCTTTTCTAAATGGTTCAGAGGTGACTCACCGACTAATAGAGGACTGTAAACAAGTAGTCAAGTAGTAGTTAAAGAGCAGCCAATTTAGAGGTTTCTCCAATGATTCAGCAGATTCAAAAACATTCCAACCCGCAGAAAAAATTGCAGCTGCCATCAAAGGAGTTTCTCGGCCAGTTTGACCCAGGTAATTTAAAAGAAGCATGCTACGAAGAAGAATAAAAATAAATCCAATTGTTAGATCTCTCATTTAAATATAATCACAGGCATAACAATTTGCCAACTTTAAGCCTAGTCTAAATGAGTTCTTGCACCACACTCATCACTACGGTATGTGCCTTCCAATAGAGCATTAAATAATGTTACTAACATCAGACATGCTTCATTTTCCCTCTCATCCTTTCCCCAGGATGAGGAATGCAGTGCTGTGTTTTGATTATTTTGTGTGTGTGTGTGTTTTAATATGTACACACTGCTAATTGTTTCCATTAGAGAAAGCAAAGTCAACTAAATGTGCCTTGTTCTTGGAGCAGAAAGTGGCGAAGTTTGTGGTAGGTCTTAAAATATCTTATTTTTCGTAAAACTCTTGAAAACTCCAGTCTACCAGATGAGACATAAATGTGGGCTGGCAATAGCATCCTGCTTCTTTGGGAACTTTAGCTTCCACCATATTTTCACACCTGAGAGTGTGTAGGGTGGGCAAAGCTCTTAAATGCAAAGGATATGAACAATGATTTAAAACTAGAAAAAAAAAATATGACCCAGAATCTCTCGCCTAATTACAGTCAGCGGCACTGGGGGAGGGAAGATAACAGCTCTGGGAGAGAGGGAAGGTGGTTCCACGAAGAGAGCCGGCTTAAAAGCTGCCTCCTCATGTGCATTGGCTCCCACCTATCCCCGCACATTGGTGCCTCTGATAGCGAGGCATTAGCACAGGAGGGCAAGCGGCTCCGCGGGAGCCAATATACACAGGCAGCAAGATTATAAGCCAACTTCCCATGTGTACCAGCTCCTGCTTGCCCCCCCCTTTACCCTCCATGCTGCTGCCTCTCTATCGAAGAAAGCAGCGTGGGTGTGGGGACGGCAGGCAGCTCCGCAGATCAGGTGCTCGTGGGGAGCCAGTGTAAGAGTCGGCTCCCCACAGGTATGGGCTCCCACCTCTCCCCACCCTCCTTGCTGCCTCTATATCAGAGGCAGCAAGGGGGAGGGAGTGCACTAGTCGATAGGGTTAAACCTAGGCTTGATCCATAGCCAACGGGAGCTGCGATCACCCGTACCTGCAGAGAAGCAGGTAACAAAGCACCTCACAGCCAGCTAGCGGCTTTCTCTTACAAGCCACGGCCCAGAGTTTGAAAGCCCCTCAGCTAATGAACTGTTCTGGAAATATCAGGTTTTTGGAGACACCATGGGTAGGCTGATCCAATAACAGCAAAGATGGTTGTAATGGGAAGAGAAGTGTTTAAATAATGTTTCCCCATATGATGGGGTAACAGTGGAGAAGCAGCTGTGGAATAAACAGTGGTAAGGGCTGGACCATGTAGAGTAGAACTGTAAATACATAGTGGGATGCATGTATTAATATACTGCATTAGCAAAATATCAAGTTGCTCTGAAAAAAGGAAACAATATTTTGGTACTTGTGTAATATATGGGGCTTAATACAATTCTGGACTTAAACGTAAGTATGAAGGATATGACTTTCCCTTCAAAACTGGGACATCCCATAATTAAGGCAGAACATTCAGGTTCACACACTTGCATTAAAGACATTCATTCTGCCTGGGAAAAAAATAAGGCCAATGTTTGCAGCAGTATGAGTCCGAAGTTTCATCCAGGATTTAAAGTCTAAACACAGACTTCCTCCTTTTGCAGGACATACAGGGTGAGCTTTTTAAAGTTGCCCATGAAATTAATGAGAATTTGGTAACCAAACCCCATAATAGGCTTTGAAAAAAATCTTGTTTTTTTTTTTTAAATATATATTTCTTATTGTATACTTATAATAGCATAAACCCTGCAATGGTCCAAATCTTGGTTTCATTGAAGGCAATGTAAAAACTTGGTGAGAGCAAGATTTGGCCCAGTAAGTTTTAAACGTTTCAAAGTTACTTATTTATATGATCATCAATAACTATCCACTGAACATATCCAATTATCCAGTAACTTGCAAAGAGTCGGTATGGCTTAGCAGGAAAATGCCAGTAAGGAGCACTACATTATACCCATCCTCAGCATAACTCATTAAAAAGGAACAGACGGAGCAGGAAGTTCAGCCCTGAACTTACAGAATTCCCAATGAAAGTTAAGAGGGTCTCTGAGACTACGTGTAGACGGGGCCAAATGTCAGAAAAAAAGCCCCTCTTTCGCAAGACTCCTTATTCCTCGTAAATCGAGATTTACAGAGTCTTGCGAAAGAGGGTTTTTTTCTGACATGGGACCAAATAGCGGCAAAACCTCTTCCGCATAAAGAATCAGAAGAGGATATGCAAATGCGAGTGCGATTTGCATATCTTATTCCAAAAAAACGGTAGTGTAGACGTAGCCTGAGTGTTCCCCTTGCTACCTTGAAGCGGTACTCCCTGTAGGCTGTGAGACTGGGCAGCTGTTTGGGAGAGATTCAAATGCAATCCAACGGATTAACCAGGCACCCACAGCTAGGTTTTTTGTATCTACTGGTGGTGCATATTTGCACGTGCGTTGGTGCACATCAAAAATTTATTCTGAACATGGATGGAAAAAAATCTGCACATTGATGGAAAAAATTAGAGGGAACGTTGCTTTGCAGCACATTTTCCCAAGAAGTTGTGTTTCAATGCATGTTGCGCATTCCAATTTTGCTGTACTCCCCTTCTCTGGCTAGCGGCCCAGCACTGTGTATTAATGCTTATTTACCGGTTTTGTGGGCAGTGTTACTTCCTGCTTCCAAATCAGATGCTCTCCGAAGCCCACCTTTCATCTAACAAAACCTAACTTTTAAGTGAGAAGCCCCATCAGAGTAAAGTTAACTCCTGGGGCTTCTGCAGGCTGCTAGGCAGGGAAAAGAACATATTACATTGGATCCACTTCCTCATTTTTTTTACCCTGTTTTATTTTTTTATCATCTGCTCGCTTACATCCTTCAAAGGAAATCTGTGAAATAATGATTTGTGACATTTTAACAAGTACCATGTCTGTGTACTCTGCAACAAAATGGACTGGAGAAGTACATCTCTACTGTGGGATTGTGCAATAAGCACACTGGGCCTGATTCAAAATCCACTGAAGTAAATGCAAAGATTTCCTTTGATTTCAATGGGCATTGGTTCAGGCCTATCAGTTGGATGTTTCTGCTAAAATAACTAGTAGTGAAATTGTTAACCATGAGACATTTTGTATTGTCATGCTTAGTTTCATAATCAGTAATCTATTGTGATGAATGAACAGTTCCCACATCTCAGAACTATTGTTTCAGGCTGTCTGCAAACAGAGACATCACTAAATTGGTCATATTTGATTCACATTTTTAAGATTTTCAGTGCAATTATAGATTTGTCTAAATAAATATAAAATATTTCTAAGGTGCTACTTAACATGAGCTAGCACATTTGAAAACCCTAGTATAGACAGGACAAATTGTACTTAATATCTTAGCTAGTCAAAGTGAACTCTAGCTCCCTTGGGCGTTTTATCTCTACTACTACTGAGAATTAAAACTGCAACTTGCCCTGTGTATACTGAGGTTTTAAAATGTGTTAAAGATGTTTTATATTTTATTCTACCACACATCTCATGAAGCAAAGGAACACTATTTTTTAAAAAGTGAAATAACAAGACAATGAATAGAGCCTTGCCTATATGGATAAATGTTCTATTTTATATGTCTGTTTCAAATAAGATCTAATGCATTTGCAAAACCTGTTTTGGGGAGGCTGAGAAATGAAATTCAGCCATGCAAATGAGCCTTCAC